CCATTTTGACCGTTTAAAGCGAGCATAAGAATTACCGCTCACCCGCGAACGGTTAACTAGCAGAGAAGTCAAATCTTTAGAAAATCGCATGTGGGGTTCGTAAACAGAGAAAGATAAATCTGTGAAAAGAAGAATGTTACGGTATTTTACATTATTTAATCGAGTTAAATACTACAACGATATATTCAGAATCGATGACTGCGCTCCATATAAAAAAGCGCCCTCTTTTGTGATGTGTTCTTAGGGTACCTCCATACTTCATAAGGATCGGCTGATTCAGATCGGCCGATCCTTATAACGCTTACAAGCGCAGCAAAAATCGGCCGATTGAGGGTGGGCCGCGATCAAATAGCATTTTGACTGAGGTTCAATACTCATTTTTGCGGAACACTTGTTGCTGACTTTGGAAACTTTAATATAACCTAAAGAAGGAAAGTCAAAGCTTGAAGAAAAAAGCGCAAAAGCTGGGATAGAGCGAAGTTACGCCAAATGGTACACAAAAAACAGTCCGCAACGCAACCGCGCGCAATCGCTCACGATCTTTATGAAGTATGGAGATGCCTTAATGATTCAACTTCTTCTCATTAGCAGTGGAGCAACTAACTGGTAGGATAATAGTGATGGTCAACTGATAATATGCTATAATGCTAAGAAACCCTGGAAATAATTCTATAGTGAGTCAAGGTTATTTATTGCAGATGGGCGACCTCACATCCTCGATTGCTCGTCTGGAGTCTTCTATGATGTAAGTTTTCATTAGCTGGAAGCTCGAAAACCTATTCAAGCTGCTTCCTGACTGATTTCTTTTTTTTTTCTCGCATCAAGACTACCCTACATATGCTCTTTTAGGGCAATGGTATCTACACCCAAAAAAGCTGCGACAAATGCTGTAAGCAAGCTGCACGACTTGAAGCCAACATGAAAGAGGTTTTTTACTAAATTTGTGCAGTTACTCGTAACTACAGTAATCTAGGACACTTGCAGAGCGAGATCCTTGGCATGATGCTTGTCATAGGCAACAAGACCGAGTGCGCCTGCTGTGCCCCTTATCGTCCATACATGGATCTGTTAGGTGTACCAGTACAGTATACTGTTCAACCTCAGCATCCATCCTATCAGCCGTCTCCTCCAAGTCACGCTCAACCCATATATCCCAACTATCAACCTACCGGCTATTAAGATGCACTCTGGAAGAATGAGCTTCTCTTGTGATAAATCATTAGAGTTCTCTTAGTTTGATTATGTGGGTAAATCTACAGATCACCTTTTGCCTTACGTTGAG